AGGCATAGGCATTGGGCACAAAATGAATCACACTACCACTTTGCACCTAACACTCAAGGACCCAAAAAGACTTGGGTACCTAAATCTTATTAAATCATTTTTGTAGGTGTGCTTGAAGGCGTCAAGTGTACTTTGGTACCTTGATAGCGGATGCTCCAAGCACATGACTGGAGATGCATCCAAGTTCCTACAAATCAAACCCGCTAAAGGAGGAAACGTAGTTTTCGGAGATAATAGCAAGGGAAAAATTATTAGCGTCGGTTCAGTAGGTAAGTCCGAAGACTCCTCTATAGATAATGTCTTGCTAGTCAAAGGTCTTAAACACAATCTCTTGAGCATAAGTCAATTATGTGACAAGGGAAATCGTGTAACTTTCGATTCAAAATCATGCACTGTAGAACGCCTTATTGACAATAAGGTCATTCTACGTGGTGATAGAATCGATAACATTTATATGGTTAACTTAGACAAATCTCATTCCGACTTTGCTAAGTGTCTCATGAGTAAAGAGGAAGACTTGGCTATGGCACCGAAGGGTAGCTCATATGAACATGAACCTTTTGAACAAATTGGTTTCACAAAACTTAGTAATTGGCATCCCAAAACTTAAGTTTGAAAAAGACACCATATGTGATGCATGTCAAAAGGGGAAGCAAGTTCTGGCTTCGTTTAAGTCTAAAAACGTTGTTTCAACGTCTAGACCGCTTCAACTTTTGCACATGGATCTCTTTGGTCCTTCTAGAACGAAGAGTTTTGGTGGCAATTACTTTGCATTTGTGATTGTCGATGACTACTCTAGGTTTACATGGACCTTGTTTCTAACTCAAAAAAGTGAGGCATTTCACGTTTTCAAAAATTTCTTAAAGAAAGTTCAAAATGAAAAAGAGACAACCATAGTAGCCATAAGAAGCGACCATGGGGGAGAGTTCGAACGAAATTTGTTCTCAGATTTGTGTGACGAACTTGGCATTGATCATAACTTCTCAGCCCCACGTACACCAGAACAAAATGGAGTGGTGGAACGTAAAAATAGATGTCTCGAAGAGATGGCTAGAACTATGATCAATGAGACAAAAATCCCTAAGTATTTTTGGGCGGATGCCGTGAGTACCACGAGCTACGTATTAAACCGAGCCGTCATTCGACCGATACTCATGAAAATGCCCTATGAACTATACAAAGGGAGAAAGCCAAACCTTTCTCATCTTCGAGTCTTTGGTTGCAAATGTTTTATACATAACAATGGCAAAGACAACTTAGGCAAATTTTATGCAAAGTCGGATGAAGGAATTTTTCTGGGTTACTCACTACGTAGCAAGGCCTATAGAGTCTTCAATAAACGTACCTTGACTATTGAGGAGTCTCCTCACATTGTATTTTCCAAAGATAATCCTCGCTTGGCGAGAAAGAATATTTGTGATGATCTTACAGATTCATTAGAGAGAATACATGTTGATGACGATGAAGACAACACGGGAATATACATCAACACACAGCCGCAAACTGGGGAGATACCTCAAGCGACTAACCAAGGTGAAGAAGAAAATCAGGAGAAAGAAGAGGAACAAGAGGAACACGAAGAAGAAGCAACCGAGCTTCCCATAGTATGGAGAACAAACAAGAACCATCCGCTTGACCAGGTAATCGGTAGCATCAACCGCGGGGTAAGTACTCGTAACTCACTTAGGGACACCGTAGGACACATGGCTTTTGTTTCTCAAATTGAACCTACAACCATTTCTGAAGCAATAAACGATGAACATTGGACCTTGGCTATGCAAGAGGAGCTAAACCAATTCAAACGGAATGACGTTTGGGAATTGGTGCCAAGACCCGATGATCGTACGGTTATTGGTACGAAATGGGTGTTCCGTAACAAACTTGATGAAAATGGAATAATCACTAGAAACAAAGCTAGGCTCGTAGCTAAAGGCTACAATCAAGAAGAAGGCATTGATTTCGA